GGATGGAAGGATGGAAAATGGATATGTGAATGGCAGTTGGATGGGTGGGTGAATGAATGAGTAGGTGAATGGGTAGGTGGACAGTAGGTGGGTGAATGGGTGGATAGTTCTATGGCTGAGGGCTTGGTGTGTGGATGGACAGACAGATGGATGGTGGATGAGTAGCTACTGAGTGGTTGGAAGGCTGTCTGCTGCTGAGGGCAGTGCCTGGACTTTCTGGTCTTGCTCCCTGTTTCCTCCAGCTGCCCAGGGAAGTGTGGATTTCCCGTGGGCCCTGGGGCGTTTCCCCCTCTCTGAAGACTTCCTCCAGGAGGAAAGACGATGCGGGGCCTTTTCACAGCGTGCGAAGGCTCGCAGCTCTGACACACCTAACACTTGAGCACAGAGGACAGCTTCAGAACAGCACAGTCAGCCAGCAGGGACAGTGTCATCCCCACCCCAGCAGGTGGACACCGGCCTCCTGCCCAGCCTGTGTCACACACACAGCTGCAGGGCACCCACTGGGGTCAGGGCTCACGGTCCAGCAGGGGGCGCAGCAAGACGATGGCTGTGACTGAGGCGGGGGCTGCGGCAGTGAGCTGGTGGCAGAGGCGGGCACCCTTACAACAGAGACCCACAGGCAGGCACTGGTGTCTGCAGGACCCACAGACACCTCCTGAGCGGGTGTTCCTGGAGCCACAGGTTGGGGCACTGGGGCAAGGATCCTCCCCCAGGCAGCCTTTGCCAGCAGCAGTGGGAGCCCACCCACAGGGTCCTTTTCTGCAGGTACAGTGGGACCTGACTTCTAAGCCTGTGGACTCGCAGGATCCCTCAGGCAGGAGGATGTCCTCTGCACATGCGGCAGCAGGCAGGTGTGCGTCCGGGGAGGCTGCACTAACCCAAGGCTGCTGGTGTAGGTCTGGCCCACTGCGCAGTCATCGGGTGGGGACAGGGGGTTGAACCAGAAGTTGGCTGCGCACTTGGCACCAGGCTCCGCGGCAGGCATGCGCTCGAACCCATAGTCACTGGGAGGAGAGAACACAGTCAGGTGCAGGAGGGGAGGGGATTTCAGCCTCAGCCCACCCTGTCCCCAAGGAGAGGTGGCCCACACAGGACAGTGGCTGGCACAGCAACCGGCGATGCAGTGTGCTGTGCTGGCAGGCTGGGGGTTTCCTGCGGGAGGAGGCACGCTCTGGATGTGCAGAAGCCACTGCGGAATAACCTCTAGGGGCTGGAGACCGGGATGAGGGACAGCCAGGAAGTGATGGGCAGGGGGGCCCAGAGGCCTGAGAGCCACACTGCTGGAGCAGCTAGCGGTCACAGGCTTTTTTCTTGTTCCAGGACTGGGAATTGAACCCAGGACCTTTGCACTGAACTACATCCCCAGCTCTTGTTTTATTTTTTATTTTGAGACAGGGTCTCCCTGAGAAGCTACGTTGCCCAAGCTAGATTTAAACATGCAATTCTCCTGCCTCAGCCTCCCAGAGAGCTAGGAGCACGGGCGTGTGTCACTGCACCTGGCCCACAGGCACTGTTGGTTGCAGCAGGAGTGGTGCAAGCCTCTCACAGGGTCCCCAAGGAGGAGAGGGCTGGGGCTACCTGACCTCAGTTCCCTGCACGCCTCGTGGCCAGGAGGCCACTGCTCACCAGAGGAAGTCCGAGTCGCGGCACTGGCACACGCGCGCCGTGAGCGCTGCGGTGAAGGTCCGGCCCTGGACGCACCAGGACGCCGGCTTCCTCTTCCGGAAGCTCCGCTGCTGTCCCATGATGCATTGGTCACCCTGTGGCAGGGACAAGGGTGAGGGGCTGCTGGGAGGACACAGCTTCTGCCAGCTGGCACCGCCCATCCTGTAGTTCCTCGAGCACCAGCTGGGGCAGGGGCCACCACTTTCACAGATGGGAAAACCGAGGCCCACAGTGCCGGGCGAGTCTGAGGCCACACTGTGGTGGCCTGTCCCTCCCCACCTGCCTGGGCACAGGGGAGCCTCAAGGACCCCTGGCAGGGCCCCACCTGGAGGCTGGTGAGGTCCCAGGAGCTGTAGTCATCCTCGCCACACGGCCTGGAGAAGGAGGGCCGGAAGTCCACCTTGACCAGCTCCCAGTCGGAGCGGAAGCTGATGTGGCCGAAGACCCTAGAGACAGGGCCAGGAGACAGCACCTCAGCCCGGCCGCACCCACTCGGCTGTGTCCTCACCATGGCACGTGGCACGTGCAGCTTCCTGGCCGCACTGGTGTGGCCCCATTGATGGGGCCAGGAGCCCCGACATCCGAGCTGCTGCGGGGACACTTCCAGGCAATACTCGTACTGTTCCTTGCTGTGTTCCACAGTGTGGTGGAGGGCCAGACTGCGTGAGGGCTGCCCAGCCTCTCCCTGCTATCTTCCTTCCTCAGGTGAGGGAAGGCCAGGCAGTGGGGTGTAGGGACAGGGGACTGGGAGATGCAGCCGTGCAGGGGCATCCACAGTGTGCCAGCGGCCACGACCACTTTGTTGGCGGAAAGAGGCCCCGAGGCCCCGCGGCAGAGCCCCTTGCTCAGGGTCGCACAGCTTGGCTGCCTGCCTTCCAGCTCCCTGAGCAGCTTCCTTTCCATCCCTGTCCTTCCTCCTCACTTGCAGGCTCCCAGGAAAGAGGGGTCCCACCTGTCCCGTCCTGGTCCTCCTCCAATCCAGCTTGCAGTGCCACATTACCAGGGGCCAGGCACCTACCTGGAGAAGTGATGCCCGTACCTGTGGCCCCGCAAGGCCCCTTTCCTTCTGTGCCTGTGAGGGGCCCTGGCCTGGCCTTTGGAGATGGCACTGGGGTAGTGCCATTTGGGCGGTGTGGTACAGCAGGATGTGCAGGTCAGCAGTGCATGCTGCTGGTGCCTGTGGTCCTCCCCAGGGCTCCCCAAGGCCCATGTCCTCGCCATGGCCCCAAATTCACAGGCCTGCACCCACTGTTGACCCCTCAAGCACCTGGGAAGTGCACCAGGGTCCTCTCAGCCACTCTCACTGTCTGTGGCCGGCAGTCCTGCTCCAAGTCTATTACATTTTATATCTAAAACCCCTCAGATCCTCATTGTGCTCCCAGTGGTGCTGAGGGGAAGACCTGGATCATGGGTGTGACATGGGGTCACGGGTGTGACAGGGGGTCATGCGTAGGATCACTGATTGGATTAGCACAGTCCTGGGTGACTGAATAGATTTACTGAAGACAGAACACCCATGCTTGGTGTGGGTGGCAGCAAGCAAAAGGCTTGTAGCCTGTATGACACAGAAGGGAAAGGGAGGCTGCTGCTTCCTGCCGACCCTGCCATGGACTGTTTGCCCTCTGTGACACCCCTCTGTCGCGCTGCCCTGCCTGGGAGCCAGCCGGCTATGAGCTGAAACCTCTACACACTGAACTGAAACAAACCTCTCCTCTTTCAACTTGTGGGTGTCAAGTATAGTGTCTCTGTGACAAGGAAGTCATAGCGCTGTCCCTCTACCTGAGTGAGTGTGTGGTCCAGGGACCCTCCTGCTACCTGGGGGTGAGGGTCCCCATGGGTAGCCTCCACTGGGGCCTGGCCACCCCTCTGCCCACTCAGCCGCCCTTGCAGACATCAAATCCAACTGAGGATCAGGCTGGTGGCTGCTGCTGCGAGTGGCCTAGGCCCCAAGGTGTCAGTGTGCCCCTTGTCACCTGCCCTGACCCATCACTGTAGCCACTCTCAACTTTCCCCTCTGACCTCACAGACACTGTGCGGGGACACGTCCACGTCTCTAGCTGAGCCAGCACTGCCCCGCTGTGCCCAACCATGGGGTTGTGCTGACTTCTGTGGGCAGGACCATTATACCTATCTTACAGATAGGGAAACTGAGGCTGGGCAATGACCTCACCAAGGATGGCAGAGCCACGGCCCTCATGGAGAGCTGACATTGGGTGTCACAACCTAGCAGCCTCCTACAGCCTCAGTTTACCCATGCTAAGTGTCATGGAGGGTGCTGAAGCTTGTCTTGGTCACATTAATTCCAATGACAGTGATGAAACCTAAAACCTTCATGGATGCTGTGACACAGGGCTGCCAACCTGATGCCCAACACAGAGTGGGCATCAGCAGTGACCTGACCCGAAGGGCAGGCCAGTGCCTGCCCCACTCCATCCAGGCTTGGCCTCCAGGGACCCTCCTGGCTCTAAGCCACTGTCACCCAGCCAGGCCCCCTAGCTGTGCCTTGACACATCTGCTTCCAAGGGGGATCTGGTTCTGGGGGGATCGTGGGGGAGAGGGGAAAGGCATGCATGGGACAGAAGCTGCTGGGGATGCCCAGCTAGGGACAGCCCTGTGGTCATGGGCAGAAAGTCTTCATCCCACCACCCCCAGGCCCACTCAGCTGGGGCACAACAGGTAGTGCGTCCCCTTTCATTGGAGCCTGTAGCCCTCCAGGGCCCTGAAAGTCCCCGTCCCAGGCCACAGTGGTTCTGGACACCAGGATCCCCATGTGTCTCTCTCCCTTGTGGGGTGCGACTGGCCCAGAGAAGCTGGCTAGTCTGCAGCCTTGGGATCCTGTGAAGGAGGGAGTGGGGACCCAGTCCAATTGTAATTCTTTCTGTAGCTGTGGCTGAGGCAGCTGCCACAGCAGCCTGCCCAGGGCCACCTGCAAGGGACAGTGAGGTCCAGGCTGGCTGGCTCTACCCTGGCCAGGGTGAGGGCAACGTCCTCAAACAGGGACTCCACGCCTACCTCGAAGGGTGGGGGGTAGGGCGACTGGGGCACGGAGCCGCCTGCCCCGCAGGAGGACGTCCGCGTGAGAACGCGACTCGCCTCCTGGTCCTGCATGGCCGCTGGTCCCCGCGCCACTCACGTCATGACCAGCGTCTCATCTCCCGGCTCGCTCAGCAGCCCGTCCACAAACACCGAGGTGCTGGTGAAGTTGTGCGTGCTCCACGTGACGCCCTCGTCCACACTGAACCTGTGGAAGGGGCCTCAGTGTCCCACAGAGGCTGCGGCCACACTTCAGCCCCCTCCTCTCTGGATGTGTGGCCAGCAGCCTCCTTACCAGTATCCGCTGGAGCCAGAGGGGTCTTGAGACTCCTGCAGACACCCTGGCCCCTCACCCAGCTGCCACAGGGACAGCCAGCACGCCTGAGGGGCGGGGACCCCAGGCCTTGGGGGCATGCAGCCCCGCCCCTCACTGCTCTTCTGTAGACCCAAGTGACTTCACACAGCTGTCTGAGCTCTGCCTTTGGGAGCCTAACTTCACTCTGCTTCAGTGTCCCCACAGGCCCTCCAGGCATCCGAAGCTGCTGCCCACCCTGCCCATGTCCCAGCCTGACTGACTGATCCAGGCCACCACCTCCAAAAACCCGTCCTGCCCCCAGGGGCTTCTCTCTGCCCACCCCCAACCCTCCCCAGCTCCCTCTGTTGTACCCTGGGGAGCTGCTCTGCAGCACCCCCTGCCACCACCCTCCCTGACTGGCCACACCCACACCCACACCCACCTGAGGACCTTCAGGGGGATGGAGGTGTCCTTGATGGCCACTATCACGCCGCCGTGGTCCAGGTAGAGGATGTGGTGCTCCTCCTCAAATACCTGAGGGACAGGGCATGGTGGGCCACGTGCCAGCGGGGCCTCAGGGAAACCAGTGCGTGAGGTGACACCACCAGCCGTGGCCCCTGGACTCAGTGCCACACCTTCCAGGACCACAGGACTCTGCAAGAGGATCCCTTGCCACGGCCTCCACCCTCCACCACTCTGGTACCATCCCTGAATGCACCCCAGGACCTTTGCACAAACCACTGCCCTGCCTGCCAAGCTCTTCCCCGATGATTCTACCTTGTTAGCAGCCTCGCTGGCACACCCCGCTGCTCCAGAGAACTCCCCTTAGAATGGGGCAGAGCCAGGGATGAGTCCCAGGGTCCCGCTCCCTCCCTCCCTGTTTAGTGGGGTAGGGGATCCCAGCCAGGCCAAATGTCACCAGCAGAGCCATGGAGAATGCCATGCTTCAGCCTTTCCCTATGGGCCTGGCAGGAGGTCCTCAAGCTGTGGGGCACCAGCCATGGGAGGGACAGGGACAGGCAGCCATGAGAGGGACAGGCAGCCGTGGCCCCGGTGCAACCCAGAGAGAGCTGTGCAGAAGCCACCTGCCATCGCACCTGGTACTGCAATGAGCCCTCGCCCCCCCCCCCAGCGCCTGCTGGGGCAACCCCGGTGGTGACCGGACATGGACGCACACAGGGCCCACCACCTGCATCCGCACCTGCCTCAGCACAGGCTCCCAACCAGAGTACTGGGGACAAATGAGGATGTGTTCCAAGGAACCGGCACCCGAGCCCAGGCCTGGGGCTGTGGGCCGTGGAGTGTGGACAGTCTCCGTGGGGACAGCTCTCGTCCAGAAGCTCCCTTGTGCATGACTGAGGCTCGGGACAGTGAGCGGCGCTGGCCAGAGCTGCTCCCCCCCGAGGCGGCGAGCTCCCCACCCCAGCGAGCATCCTGGGAGAAGCAAAGCTCTTTTCTCAAGAATGTGGGTGCGTGCAGGACCCCGGAGCCAGAACTGGGTGGTTCCGAGAGGCTGAGTGCACACGGGGTGGGGTGGCCGAGCCTGGTTGTCCCCTTTCCCAAGTGTGCCCAACAGGACGTGCACCTCACAGGGGCAGAATCTGTTGTCTCCTGAGGTCCTCCTGCCAAGGGTGACAGGCTACGGAAGGTGGGGTGAACCCTGACTTGCACAGAGGGTTCCCAGGGGACCCTCAGCCACCAAGCCCCTCCCCCAGGACACCAGGAAGGCTTTGGTCATAGCCACCACGAGAAAGCCAGACGGGGGTGCCTCTGAGGCACCCTGGGGACCCAAAGGAACACCATGCTCACTAGCTTGGAGTCTCAGAAAAGGGGCCTGGGTTTCCCGCCTCCCGGCAGGACACTGGCGCTCTGTGCCTCGATGGGTCCCCAGCACCCGGGCCAGTCTTTCCCTGTGTCCTGAGCCCAAGTCCTGCAGGACTCCTGGGGTTCACTGACTCCTGGGCCCCACTGTCCTTGGTCATCGTGGCGCTGAGTGTGTCAAAGACTGTGTCCACTCCAGGAGGTGAGCCTGTCACTGTAACTTCCTGCCCTGGTCCTGCTCTGAGGCGTATCACATGTCCCATATGGTGGCCAGGCAGGTGCCGCATCTGCCTTCTGCGGTTCGTGTCCACCCCGCTGCCTGGGCCCCTGCTTTTGCTCCTCTTCCGCTCACTGGACGCCAGTCCCAGGCTGAGCGTCTCCTCCGCGGCACGCGTCCGCACGCACACACACTGGCCAGCGCCATGGGTGCCCCCAGCTCCAGCCCGGCTCCATTCTCTCATCCATCTCTGCCATCCCCAAGTGTGAAATCCCACCAAGCCATCTGGTGAGGGAGACAGCCCTGGATGCCTCACCCTGTGTGTAAAACCACAGGGGCTGCTAGAACGGACAGAGGTGACCTTTGAGAGACTCAGGTGTGAAGTAGAAACATTATAATAGGATAAATTGCATTTGCCCTTTTCAAAATGCCTTGTTTCTTGCATGTGATTAAAAACAATCAGGCCTTAAGCGAAGAAGGCAGGTGGACCTTGCACGTTGGGGACGAACACTTGTCCAGAGCCAGTGTCACTGCTGCAGGGCGGGCACCAACCACAACATGGCCGGACCCAAACTGGGTCCCATCCGCGAAGCCCCACGCTGCTCCAGCAAACTCCAGCCCCCCCCCCACCTCCAAAGAGTCAGGGGCTGAGGGGAGGCAGGGGTGTGCTGGGGACATGGGGACCCTGAGCTGCCACGGCTCACTGGCCCCACATGCTGAAGGCCAAGGGGGTGTCCCCTGTCTGACTCTGCCTTCTATGCGGGGGACCCAGGCAGGTGGCGGGGCCACTCCCTATACACACCCTTCTTCCTTGCTCACCTTGGCCAAGTTCTGCCTGTGGGTCCCATCCTGATGTCCCCAGAGCCTGACCCAGACACTCCAAAGACCCAGACCTGCCCTTCTTTCTTCCTCTACCCACGCATCCCATCCACCCCACTTCTGCCCAAGGAAGCCAGCACAGGGGAGTCCCACCTCCAGTCTTTGGCCACAGAGGACACAGGGTAGTTCCACTCATGTGGCAGGGGCACCAGTGCTGCAGGGGCCATTCTGCCAGGTGGGGCAGAGCAACAGGGCAGCCACCTCCTGGAGTGGCACTGCCTTACCTGTCGCCAGGTGCGCCCACAATCTGCCGTGATGTACATCTCCTCCTTGTATTCCACCAGCTGCGAGCCCAGGTTACCTGGCCACAGGGAAAGGGGCACTGCTTTTGGGGTCCACGGGCTCCCCTCTTGCACCTGGAGGGAGTCACACAGTCCCCAGGCATGCGAGGTGCTGATGCCCTGGTCCCAGGTCCGTCACCATGCTGTCTGCCAGCACGCCCCTGCCATCCTCTCCATAGTGGACCTGCTTTGGCTCCCAGGCCCCCTCCGTGCAGTGACAGCCCAGTGCTGCCCAGACCCGACTGCCCAGGCGGACAGCGCTTAGGCCCCTCAGAGGACCCACAGGTGTGGCTCAAGAGTAGAAGATGGCTCCACCCCGGGGCGCACACCTGGAGTCCCAGCAACCGGAAGGCTGAGGCAGGAGGGCCCCAAGCTACAGCTCAGCCCAGGCAACTCAGCGGCAGGGGATCCTGCCTCAAAATTTTAAAAAATTAAAGAGATGTAGCTCACTGTGAAGGCTCTGGTAAAGAAAAAAAGAAAGACAAAGGAAAAAGTGTGGTGGCCAGGGCTGGGCTGTGGGGACCAGAGGGTGAGACACCACTGAAGGGCAGGTGAGGGCCAGGGGAGCATGAGGTAGGCACACACCAGGGCAGACTGGGGCTCCCTGGGCTCTGCCCACCCTCACCCTGTTCTGCCTGCCACCCTGACGGCCACCCTAAGAGGCTCGGATGTGACTGTGGGAGTGGAGTCAGAGTGGAGACAGGGACAAGACTGCAGCAGGAGTGCTGCTCTGTGAGGCAACAGCTTCTGCTGCAACCCTGGGCAAGGCAGGAACAGGGCTCCTGCTCCCAGAGTAGGGTGCTGGTGACGCTGAGGCCACCTGGACTCGTTGAAGCCCCAGAGGCCTGGTCTGGGTGATGTGCATGTCACATGCCTCTGCTCCATTCCTCTGCTGGGGATGTCACTTTGTCACTTGCCATCTGAAACCCTTTCTGTATGACACACTCAGAAGTATTTTATTCAAGTCAAATTTAGGCATTATGGGAAAATTCCAAGGGAAGCTGATTGTCCTCCAATAGATGAGCTCAAGTCTTGGGCAGAATGTGTGCTCATCTTCCCTAAAGTTGATCCACCCATCCACCCATCCACCCATCCATCCTCCACTCCCTATGCGTTCATCCTCTATTCCCTATGCATCCATCCATCCATCCATCCATCCAACCATTATCCATTCAGCACTCATTCATCCACCCTTCTGTTGTCAATCCATCCATCTATTCATCCATCCACTCATTACCCACACATCCATCCCC